CTCTCACTAAATTAATATGTGTCATAAGAACATAAAATATCTCAACATCACACACTCTCATTGGACCTTGCCCTACAGCAAGTCCCCGAAGACACTGCCATGTCCCGTTGCTATGGCAACAGAGCTCTCTCTTTTGCTACAGTGAGTTGTTTTTTAATATAATCCTAAATAATTTTTATAATAAAGAAGAAATTATACAGAATCAATATTAATGTGTGATCTTTTTATTGCTTTGTAATGATTTAATTCAAAAGTAGGAAAACGAAGTAATCCCACAACACATTAAATCCCTTAACAGACTTCCAATTAAATTATTATGCATTGCCTTTTCTTGAAGCTCATTAAGAAGTGATATTTTTTAAAACTGTGTGGAAAATAACCATAAATTGTTAATGTTAGTATTGAATATGGTATGCTTTTATCCAGCTTGGAAGGTCTATATGAAAATGTCTTAAAGTTGTACTAACTCATCTAAACAATATCTACACTTACTAAACTAAACATGACTGTGCTAGCAATATGGAAAAATCACCTTCCCATACTGCTAAAAGGCAGAAATACAAATAATAATGCATCTTATATCAGCAGATTTTATCTTCCTATTAAGAGAGATAGACCATTAGAGTATTTCAAACAGTGCCTTACAGTCAACACATAATACTTTCCTATTTCTATCACTAACATGATTCAGTGAGGGCAATAAATTCTATAACCTGGTTTTTGTTTTTGTTTTTGTTTTTTTACTTTAAACAGTACTTATGCAGTTGTAACACCTTGTAATGTCTTCAGTAGTCTGAATAATTTAAAGTGAAATAGCATAGGAGACTCTTACTATAGTAGAGCCTTAATTATATAATAAAGCTGATTCATATAAGGAGACAAACCTTGTACACACAATATTTACATTAGATAAATCTCATAGAAGATCACTTGGAGTTGGGTTTGGGAGTCAGTAGATTTATTTATCGTGCTATGTAATGTGAGACAATAATCTAAGAAAGGATAAAGTTTCTTAAGTGTCCAGGAGAAATGATTCTGTGAGGAAACATAAATAAAATGCCTGGTAGAAAATTATCATCATTACGTTTTAGTTGTCTGTCCTTTAAAAATTTTTTTCCAGGTGGCCTAGCAGCTAAAATCCTCTCCTTGCATGCACCAGATTCCCACATGAGTTCCAGTTCTAGTCCTGGAGGTCCCACTTCCCATCCAGCTTCCTGCTTGTGGCCTGGGAAAGCAGTCAAGGACAGCCCAAAGCCTTGGAAGCCTGAACCCACAGGGGAGACCCGGAAGAGGTTCCTGGCTTCCCGGCTTCAGATCGGCCATTGCAGTCTTTGGGAAGTGAATCAGCAGATGCAGAATCTTGATCTCTGTCTCTCCTCTCATCTGAATATCTGACTTTCTTAAAAATTTTTTTAGGATTTCTTTCAGTCATTTCTTTGAAAATCATCATTTCAAAATACCCTCCCCCAAGAAAGCGACTGCAGATTTCCTGTTATATCTGAAAATACACCTAACTTTCATTTCAATATAATTTTGTCACACATTATTTTTTTTCAAATTTTCTTCTATTCATAATGTTTCTCCTAAAATACGTTTTTATGGCATCCTGGAATAATGCATTGGAAAAGAAATTATTAAGGATGGAACCATGTCATGTGTGGGTATGCTGTTCAACGGAGTTATTTTTGTCCGTTTATTAAGTTAATGAGGGAAGTACAACTTCTACATTCTCTTAAGCGCTGATGGATGACATTACTGAATCTTCCAAGAAATTTTAGCAAAAGAAATCAGTATTGTTACGGATATAGTTAGAGTGATATAGAGTATATATTCAGGACATAGGCTAACAGGGTTTGAAATCCACTTTGACCACTGACTACAATAAAATTTCAAGAAATCAATCAATTTTTGTTTTAGCTTTCTCATCTGTAAAATAGGAATGGCAACAATATTTACCACCCAAGGTCAAGTGTTCAGACAGACACTAACTATGTTAGCCATCAATAAAGTTATTAAAATGGCATACGTAAACACTTTACCAAGTTCATTCTGTAAAAAATAGTATTTCTGAACATATTCTGGAACTATTATTCTTTTGAATGCATTTTTAAAAGGAAATCCCTAAAATACAAAGTTCTGATAATTAAGCAAAATAAATAAATAAATAAAAGCATTCAGATCATTAAGGTTCAAAGCAAGAACCATAGAAAATGAACTAGCTGATCTCCTGGATGATGTTTTGTCAGAAATATGAATATTTGTTGCACATTTTATAAAGACATTCCCCATAATTGGGTTGAAATTAATCCTCCGTTGTAATGGAGCTATATGAATATAAACAAACTTACCAGCACACAGTTGAATCTGAATGAGTCCAAATAGCATATATGGGAAACACCTATTCACACACTGATTTCTAGAAACCCCCAGACAAAATACACTTAGCAAAGATACATCCTGCAGAGTATCTTCCTATATTTTTCTCTGAAATCTGTATATCTTTGAAAGACAGTAATTAAATTGTTAATTCTGGTTTACAGTGAAAAGAATAAAATTAAGAGTAAATGTGTTAAGGTACTGTCATACTAAAGAAATTTTGTAGTTATGACTTTTAAGAGTAAAATTAGCAGTCTAAGTATGCATAAATGACCCTGAACTTTTATTATTTTGTGTGACACAGATTGGTTATGATCATATGAAGACAGTTTCTATGGGACTGACAAATAACTAGGTGACAAATACTAGCACACTTTGTATATTTCACAGTGAAGTAAATATGGCCATATTAGACAGCCTCAATAAAGATGTGGCAAAGTGTAAAACATACTAACATTTAAAAATGCAAACTCAACAAAATTTCAATGAATCCACTGAAAGAAATTGATTTCAAGCACTTAGCATTTAAACCAGGTGTTCAAAGAAATACATCTAAAGTATTAGTGACAACAATCAATCGATCATGTGAAAGCTATTTCAATACATCTGAGGGTTTGCTTTGAGTAATAACTGCCATTTCTCATAGTCAGTTAGAGCACAAGGGCAATCAATTAAATACAGTCCATGGCACAAATCAAAGTACTAGCCAATGATGCATGCACATTTCAAGGAATCATTTACTGATCATGAATCATAGAGAAGAAAATTAGGATAAAGTATACAAGTCAAGGTCTACATGGACAATTGGTTGAATTGCAATTCCTATACCTCTAGGGATAACAGAGATAAGCAGAAGAGACTTTACAGATTCATATTACCCCCATCAAGGTGGAGAGATATTCTTGAAAAGCCACAGGAAAAGATGTCAATGAATACATTGTACATATTTGTGAGTATCTTCCCTTTTTGGACAAATAATTTTGATTTTATAATTGGGGCAGTTACAAAGGTTTCTATTTCAAAAAGTTAAGTTTATTTTAAAAGGGTGTATTTTTAAGTAATATGCTACATAGTAAAATTTTATGTGGCTTGTGCAAAAGTAAAGACAGTAAATGATTAATGTTCACTGAAAACTCGTTCTATGACACGTATCCTGATAGCATGAGACCATAACTTGTTGATCCTAGATACGAATAACGATGTCACAATCCTGATACTGCAACCTTGTATGCAATATTAGAAATGAAAATTGTGCATAACATGGTCTGATGTGTTAACTAATATCAAATATAAACACTATCACTAAGTAATTGGATGCAACATTTTAATTACTAAATGAACAGCCTACAGATTAAGACAAAAGGAAACCATTTGCTGAAAACAAAATGGTACATCAAAATGCTGATCAGTTAAAAATAATGTAAATCAGTTATTCATAACTAATTATATGAATATAAGTATTCACTAAATTTGAAATTTAAATATATATGGGAAACTAGATATGGATAATACCTGTAACATACTATTTTCCTGAAGATAGAAGGTTTATCAGTAGGAAAATATCTAATTCATTAATCATATTATTTATTAACATTTCTACTATAAAATGGAAATAAATAAATCCTTATTCTTTAAGTTTAGATTCTAAGGTCTAGCATTCTAAACGAGTCCAATTCTCAACTTACAAAGATCAGCCTGGTAGAATTTAAACACATATATGAAGATATATCTCTACTGTTTAACATGCTAAAATGAAAGGAGATAATCTTCTTAGAATATGTCTTTACAAGAACAAAAGAACATTACTCACCCTAGGTAAATGAATTTCAACACCTAACCAGATTCACTTTCAAAACCCTAAAAACCACAAATCATTATGATCTGTGTGTTGTCATCCCAAAGCAAATTTCTGGGAATATATCAGTGTCATAGTTTTCATTTTTCTTATTTTCTAAAAAGGGGAAATCATTGTTATAACAAGTCATAAACTTATTTTTGAGAACTTGAATAACCTTGCCTACTCACAAAAGATCTTCCTGCTACAATGTAAAACTGATCATGACTTAAGTCTAGATCATTGTAAAATGGTGCTACATTCCATTGTTCTTAGAAAACTATGAAATGATAATCACCAATGTTGAAGGCTACCATAATGAGCTTCCCTATCCTCATTTTGTTCTCAACCAAAAGTTATTGAAAAATAATATCCAAATAATCTGAAGGCACCCAGGACCAATGGGATGACTATTTTTCTAAATTAAAGTATTAAGGCAAGCGAAGGATATGTTCTTAAAGTCCTTGTTTGGGTATAAGATAGTTCTTTTGAAGCTGTTTAAACAAAAAAGGAATTCAATTTTCTTTTTTTTTTTTCATTTTATATGATCTCCATGCTGCTTTAGAATGTATATGTTTGAGTGTATTTGAAAAGAGGATGATAGTTCTGATTATTTAGCTCCCAGTAGCATAATAATGTAGCATATTTTAAAACCTGTTCATGTCTTGTCTTCTCTAATTACCTTTAAAAGAGTCCCTGCTTAGTTGCTGCGGTATGTTGTGGTAGTCCCCAACTCAAATTGTGAATATTCTCATAAACAACAACAAAGTAATTGAACAGGCAAACATACCCTGATGAAGAGGATCTTTTCTCCCACTCGGTATCTTCCTTGGGAGAGCCGTTCCACACAGAATTTGTTTGGGCATTTGCAAGGAGGATCTTCAGAAATTCGCTTCACCTGAAACAGAAAAGCAGGCAAGTTAATTCTTCTATGACCAGGTCGTGGGCAGATTAATTTATTCCAAGGGCTCCGAGGACACTGTGACACTAATGATATCAAACTTATTATATAGATGTATCTATGTACATGCTATGAGCACACGGATTCCACATTAAATCATAACTTTGAAAAGGTCACATCCTGAAGTCACCTTCGAAATGCAAATGACTGTGAGAAGGCATAAGCTTGATAACAGTAATAAAGTGTTGGATAATGATGGGGAAATCAATTGAACATGAAAAGCATGGTGAGACGGGTGCTCATTTTGTTAAAAGATCATGAATACTGGGTCATCAAGATGAATCTATTGAAAGCAAAATTCGAATACTTGTTTTGTAAACATTTTGACAACTAGAATAGAGCATTGGTTGACATGGAACACATTTTTTCTTGGTGTGATTATATTTATCCTGGATGTGGCATTCAGCCTGTCAAGATACTATGTCAGAGTCCCTTTCACCAGCTCAGGTCCAATGCTGGACTCCAGCTTCCTGCTACTGCACACTTCGTAGTCACTGGTAATGGCTCAAGTAATTAGGCAGCTGCCACTCATCCGAGAGAATGGTTTGAAATCTCTGCCTTTGACCGCTGAAGTTACGTAGGGAGTGAATCAATAGTTGCAAGCTCTCTCTCTCTCTCTCTATCTTTGCCCATCTAATAATTTTTTAAAAGCTAATGTAAAGCTAATTTATTAGTTTTTTTTTTCCATTTTCAAAATAAGAGTTAAACAAATCATTGGATTTTACCATGGAACTGTTCCAGTTTATTTTGGATTTCAATGTTTCTTCCATGAAGTAATCTTTATTTCATACAGATTCAGCCTGTAATTCTCATCATAGCAAATCTCATCTAACAACCCCACTTTCCAGGCCATAGTTTATAAATTATGACCATTTACAGAATTAATGTGTGGACAATGAAATGTTGATCTCTATTGTACCTATTCTCTTTGGTCTTCAAACATAAACTATCTAAAATATATCTGTGTAGGGCTTGCAAATACTTAATGACTATTAGAAAATAATGCAATCAGCCATGATTATAGAAACAGATTTATGTCAATGACTTAAATGGCTGAGAACCAGCCGTCTGTACCTTATGCTCTCATCAACTAAGTCAGCTAAATGCCCAAACCATACCCCTTCTTTTTGAGGAAAGGGATTTTTTTCCCATTTATTTGATTTCATTTTATGACACAGTTTCATAGGCTCTGGGATTCTTCCATTATCTCCCCATTCCCTCCTCCCAAGGTGGATTCCTCCATCTTTTTGCAGGTTTGAAGTTCAAATCCAGTCATGATTCCTTCATTGCAAGCATGTACCAAGCACAGAGTCCAGCATCTTATTGTTCAGATAAATTCAGTAGTTTCCTTTGGAGACCATCCCTGCTCTGAAAGTAGAGCTGGCAGAATATCACCCTGTCCAGTGAAAAGCCATAACATAACAGCAACAACAATTTACAACATTATGGAGTTAATTGACATAGTATTGAGTGACCAATATGTTAGAAAATGCAAGTTCTTAACTACATCCTGTGACTATTTCATTAACACTTCGATTTTAGTTTATACACAAATGGCTGTTACACGCCTTAAAATGGTTATAGGGTACTAGTCAGCTGTCTTGTGTCTATTTTCATTTTATATTTAGCTGGTTATAATATTGAAGCATAATTTTTACCGAACTTGGCAAATTTTAGGATAGTCCAATCTGGCTTATAACTCTAACCAGGTATATGTAAACAATTGAGGCACAAAACAGCTTTTTAGGAGGGGTGTGCAGAGAAATCTTTTATACTTTAGTGAGAAGTAACTCATTTTTGTGTTCTACTTAGTGAGGTATTTGTGAGTCCAAGCTGTCCGTTTCCTGTCTAGTTCTAAGCTTTCCTTATTAATCTCATGGAGGAAACAGAAAGCCATAAATGATGCATACCTTGAATTTGAGAAGATGCACAGCACATACTTAAATGTTGGAAATATTGGTCTGGATTCACTTGCTCAATCTTTTTTCACATCGATCTTGTGTAACCCAGAGTTTTGTCATCAACAAAATGCAATAATTTCTTCAAATAACTCAGTGTCTAACTTCCATCATCCATACACCACACAAAACTATCGGAAGAGTTACACAAGAACTTGTTTGAATGTTGATACAGAAGAATTAAACACCTTGAATTTTCTAGAATATGAAATGCTCCAGAAATTATGAAAGGAAATAATGTTGGATGGAAAACCAGAATTGATGGTGTGAACTTGAGACAAACAATAAAAATCTCTAAGTATATATTTAATTACTTGGCTATTTGAATTGTAGCTGCCATGGATTATGTCCTGAAATCTGATATTACAATGCCTCTACCTTTGTTGTTGCTATTTAAAGTTTTTAGCTCTTTGAAGTCTACTGTGTTTCTATGTGAATTTTATCCACGACTGAGAAAAACTTGTATGATTAGTCCTACTCACAATAGCTGTAAAAATATTTAAATACCTCAGAATCAATTTAACCAAGAATGTTGTGAATCTCTACAATGAAAATTGCAATCTTAGGGAGAGAAATAGAACAAGATACTAAAAATAGAAAAACAATTCCATGACCACAGATTCGTTGAATTAATATCATCACAATGTCCATACTACTGAAGGAGAAGGGTGAAGGAACGCATGGAGGAAGAGAGCATAGGGCGGTAGTATTACTAAGCTTATACATTTTTATTGTTAAATTTTTTCACTTGATGTAAGTAAGCTTCAAATTATATACAAAATTATCCCAAAGTATTTAAAACATTTGAAGCTGTTGTGAATGGGACTGATCTTGCAAGCACTTTCTCAGGCAGGGCATTGTATGTGAATTTAATAGCTATTGATTTTTGTGTGCTGATTCAGTATCTTGTAGCTTTACCAAACTCTAATGAGTGGAGAGCTTTAGTTCCCCTACAAATAGGATAATGTCATCTGCCATGTGGAATAATTTGATCCCCTTATCCATTTGTATCTCTTTAATTCATTTTTCTTGTCTCACAGCTCTGGCTAGTCCTTCCACAGCTATATGGAATAGCTGTGGTGAAACGAGCAGCCTTGTCTGGTTCCAAATCTTACTAAGTGTTTCCAACATTTCAGCATTCAATTTGATGCTGGCTATGGATTTGTCATTTATTGCCTGGATTATTTTGAGGAATGTTCCTTCTATACCCAATTTGCTTAAAATTTTTACCATTAAAAGACAATATATTTTGGGCCTGGCGCGGTGGCGCAAGTGGTTAAAGGTCCTCGCCTTGCATGCCCGGGATCCCATATGGGCGCCGGTTCTAATCCCGGCAGCCCCGCTTCCCTTCCAGCTCCCTGCCTGTGGCCTGGGAAGGCAGTCGAGGACGGCCCAAAGCTTTGGGACCCTGCACCCGCGTGGGAGACCCGGAAGAGGCTCCTGGCTTCGGATCGGCATAGCATCGGCCGTTGCGCTCACTTGGGGTGTGAATCGTTGGATGGAAGATCTTCCTCTCTGTCTCTCCTCTCTGTATATCCGCCTTTCCAATGAAAAAATAATAAAAATAAATCTTTAAAAAAAAATAAATAAAAGACAATATATTTTATCAAATGCTTTTTCTGCATCTATTGCAATAGTCACATGTTTTTTATGCTTCAGCTTGTGTATGCTGAACTGTCCTTAAACAATAGGCATAAATTCCACTTGATCTGGGTGAATGACATTTCTGATATGTTGTTGAATTCGATTGGATATTAGTTTACTGATGTTGCATCTAGGTTCATCGGGAATACTGGTTTCGGCTATCTTTGTTGCACCTTTTGCTGGTTTTGGAATCAATGTCACTATCTTGGTTATTGTTATATCAGGTTTTCTATGTCTTCATGACCCAGTAGATCAACCAGGTCACACATAATCCCACTCCTGGAAATTTACTCAAATGAAATTAGCATGTGAAAGAGTTATGTGTTCCCCATGCTTACTGCAGCTCAGTTCAATAATAGCTAAGATAGGGAACCAACCCAGATCCAGATGTCCATTACCTGATGACTACATAAAAAAAAATGTGTAATACTATTCCCTTCCTTTGCAACAAAATGGATGAAACTGGAAATCATTACATTTAGTGAAATAATTTCATCCCCAAAGACAAATATCGTGTCTTCTCTGATATTTGGCAATTAACATAGAATGCTAAAAGTGTATAGGAATTGGGCCTGGCACGATGGCCTAGCGGCTAAAGTCCTCGCTTTGGCCGCGGCTGGAATCCCATGTGGATGCCAGTTCTAGTCTCAGTGGCTCCACTTCCTGTCCAGCTCCCTGCTTGTGGCCTGGGAAAGCAGTCAAGGACGGCCCAATGCTTTGGGATCCTGCACCCGTGTGGGAGACCTGGAGGAGATTCCTGGCTCTTGGCTCCGGATCGGCACAGCACAGACCATTGCAGCTCACTTGGGGAGTGGGTCATCAGACAGAGGATCTTCCTCTCTGTCTCTCCTCCTCTCTGTCTCTCCTCCTCTCTGTATATGTGACTTTGTGATAAAAATAAATAAATCTTAAAAAAAATAAAGATCCTTAAAACAAGTGTATAGGAATAAAACAAACATCATCTCTTTGCTACTTTCATCCCTTGTTTATATTCCTCTGTAACTGTGGTGTTTTTACTTATTGAATTTTATTGGTATTGGTGCATTAAGGATATGATAAGTGTAGATTAAAATTATGCCTGTGGAAAAAAAAATTTTAAAAAAGGAAGGAGGAGAAATAGGAAGGGATATCGTGGGTAGAAATACAGTTTTCTGTTTAGAGTTGTACATATGAAATACATGAAATTGGGCTCGATGTGGTAACCTCGTGGCTAAAGTCCTGCCTTGCAAGCACCGGGATCCCATATGGGCACCAGTTCTAGTCCTGGAGACCCCAGTTCGCATCCAGCTCTCTGCTTGTGGCCTGGGAAAGCAGTCGAGGATGGCCTAAAGCCTT